CCCTCCCCGCCCTCCCCGCCCTCCGTGAGCCTCCCGCCCTTTGCCAGCCTCGCGGTCCTCCTTGGAGCCGCGCATCCAGGCAAGAAAATCCAGCGTCTTTTCTCATTTAACCCGCGTTTCCATTAACTCAGTCCCGGCACCAGCTAATCCGCGGCACCGAAGGCAAAAGGAGGCTAATTAATGACCAGCTTTTCCAGTCAAGACCGGCGATAATTGCTTTGGTGGCCTTTATGATTACAAGCTAAAAATGGCCCGGCCTGACATAAGAGGCCCTGTGTACACTCGGAGACAGGAGGGAATGAGGAGGGGGAAGGCTGGATACAGAGCAGAAAATTACTAATACAAGACACATAATGAATAGGCCGGCCAGGCATTCATGGGGAAAAAATCCATTTTGTTACCACGCGAAATTAGGTGGTGGAAAGGAGTTTGCTAATTGTTCTCATCTTGTAGCAACCGGGACCGAGGCGCGGGCGTGCGTCTCCATTCATTTACCGAGTAATGGTGGAGGGCGTGCTGGCCGGAGCCGCGCGCGCCCGCGTCCTCTCCGTCTTCCCGGGGCGTTTTAATTGTGGCTAATACACCTGCTAACGAAGCTAACGGGCGAGCAACATGCACCTTTTGCACGTGAAGACTAGTGAAATGCACCCAAAGGATCTCCCCCCCAAAAAAAACCAATGAGAATCTGATGGTTTGTCTCCCTTACTCTCCACGCCGCGGAGAAGTGAACTCGTGGACCGTCGTGTTCCAAATGCCCTGCAGCTCCTTTCAAGGAAGAGCGCTGAGGTGCGCGGCGTTGGAGTGTGTGTCCCGCGGGCGCGCGCGCAGAGGGGCTCAGGTCGGTGGGGATGTCAAGGAAAGGTTCCTCCAGAGGCGGCCCTCCTGCAGTGTCTCCAAGAACGTGGATGTGAAACTTACCTGTCCCTGATTGTGCTGTGTGCTGTAGAGTTGTTTGATCTCTCTGTGCTCCCGGCACCGCGCCCCCCCCCCAAAAAAAAACATTGTGGTGCATGCTCAGGATAAACTGCTCTATTTTCCTCACACCTGTTTGAAGAAGGGATGTGCGCTTTTCCTTAAAGCTGCAAATCAGCTGCCAAAGACTTTGCCTTGTTAGGGTTAGAAAAACGGTGGCCTTCAGGAGAACAAGTAATGCTTCTAAGTTTTCTTTTGAAAACGTTGCAATCTGTAGTGTGCTAGTTAGAAATAACTTCCCTCCTTGTTTGAGGGGTGCTGTTCCGGATGGCCCCCCTGTGGCTGTTTTAATGCCAGCATGGTGCTGTGCTGAGCTTTACCTTTACCTTGCATTGGAAAAGGGTGGTTTCCAGGAGGTCATAATTTGTTAGGTACTAACGTGCGCGCCTTCTCTCCTGTTCTGCAGAAAAGCAAACTCAAGCTTCTGCCACACGGAGCAGAGCAAGAGGACTCGACCCCGTTCATCGTGCTGACCCTGGTCTCTGTCGTGGCCATGGTTGGGGTCCTCCTGGCCTCTGGTGTCATCTACTGTTTGCGCCACACCTCCCACTCCCGGCTGCAGGAGAAGCTCTCGGACCTGGGGGAGCACCCCGGCCCAGATGCCACCAATGCCTACCAGGTAGGGGTTCTGCTGGGTTCTGTTCATCAGTGCGCGCGGTCTGTGGCCCCTCCCCGTTCCCAGTGCTTCATGTAGTCATAGTTTGGGTTCTTTCAGGAAGACGGTTTGAAACTGCTCATCAGCATTCACGTAAATACCTTGTAACCACAGTTTTACTGCTTTGTGTTAATCTTACTCTGTTCTTGGCTCGTCTCAGTTAGCTGTGAAAGCAGGTTGCTCATTAGAAATGTGGAAAAAGTACAAAACATGAATTATGTATTATCTGTTATCTTTCTTAGTTTGGCTGCTGTTAATGAAAAATGCCAAAGTTGCAAGATAAATTGGTTGTGTAGATGTTTGAAGATGTCTCTTAAATCATCGACTTCCTCCGGGTCTTCTATGAAAAGATCCTTTGACCTGACCCATCGCCACCCCCTGCTAGTATTTGGATAAAGTGAAATCTAATGCTGATCAGTGGGAAGTAAGCCGAGGGCGTCTCCATGCGAGTGAGGGTGGTGGCTGGGTGCTGGGACTCCTAACCATTCCAGACACACCTGGAGATGAGTCAGAAGCCAATGAGAATGTGAGGATGCAGATGCAGACCAAACCGGACAGTAAAAGATTTTTGGATGTTGTGTAGCACGCACGTTATATTTAGTGACGTCCTGCAGTGAGAATGAGCAACGCCAGCCCGTAGCGTAGACAAGTCAGGGCACAACTCGGTATCGTTCCCATTTGGGAAGGTAAAATACTTAATCATCGTTTTAGAAATTCAGTCAGTATATATTTGTGAAATATTTTCTCCCGTTGGACTAGATTCTTTGTTTCCTCTACTCACATGATTACAATGTGTAATAGGTCTGTCTTGTAAATAAGGCTTCATATTTTACAATAATATATAAGTTGACTGTTCAGTCATCACAATTATATGGGGGGTGGGGGAGTCTCAAGCTCTTTCTAGAACCCCCGCCCCTCCAAACTGTCCTGCGAGGTGCCCTCCAGGAACTTGTCTGAGCTAGCTGCTTTTCCTCCATGGGCCACCCTGACACTGGCCCACAGAAGGACCTGGGATAAATTTATAAAATCACTATGCTTAAAAGAGACCAAGAGATAGCTTTCTCCCCCCATTCAAAAATTCTTGGTATTGTCACTGAAGAGAGAAAAGCGCTGGCTTTCTGGAGGTCACAAGGCTGGTCAGTATGATCTTCTCTCATAAAGAAATGACACCTTCAAATGTGTGGGAGGTGGCATTTCAGACCCAGCGCACCGCTCTGCTTCAAAGCAAGAGAAAAATCACGTTTGAAGAAGAAGCCCAGGAAAAAATGTCACTTAAACTAGTAAGAATTTATCCAGAAATTCTATTGAGCAAGACCATCAGTGTAGGATGCCCGGGCTTCTGGGCCATGTCTGTGCCAGGACATAAATAAATTATCACACCAGTTCTGTTCTGTGTGCAGGAGACGGGAGATCACACAGGGGTGGATTTTTAGAAAGCATGGCGTCCTTTGATACACTTTGAAATTCAAATATAAAATATTGATAGAATGGAAAGGTTGGGCTTGCATGCAGAAATGACTCAGTTTGGCAAAAATACGGGTTGAAATTGCACACTTAGAACTGAGTTTGTGATAATTAACAGAAAAAAATCTTCCCGGTGACAGCTCTAATTAATAGTATCTGTAATTAAAATCATGCCCTTCCAGCAGGAAAATTGTTTGAATTTCTTGGAGTGACCTTTTTGCTATTCCTCCTGGGGGCATGGTGGTTAAGTTGATATTGATTTTATAATGAGCTCTGGTTTGTTTAATAAGAATCTGTAATCCAGACAATAAATGAAATGTGTGCTTTTCTTCAATCCAGATTAATAAAAAAGGGGGGGGAAGCACAGAAAAAAATTTCCCTTTGAAAATATGATCTAGGAAAATTTGGAAATGAAATTATTATAAAGATTTTGTGATGGGCTTAGTTTTGAAATCACTATGAAATACCTCTCAGGGAACCACTCTGGTTAAATGCAGACGTTTGGCCCAAAGTGGACGGTCCACTGGGGAGAAGACGCTAGTGCTGGAGCTGTTGAGTTGTTTTGGTTTGTGGTTAGCAGAGCAGGACTCCGCCAACAGGGATGGGATCTCAGGGCTGTTGCCTCTAGATTTCGCTGAGTCATGTATGAAGGGCTCTTAACCAAGTAGCCGCAAATAGAGGATGTTTGCCTTTGTAAATGAAGCAGGTATTAACTCGGGAATGCATCCACACTAAACTTGGCTTTTCCAGAGCTACCACTGAAACCCCCTTTCAAGCTTCAAGTCTGTCTGAGAAGTTGTTTAAAGTATTGCAAACGTAAAAACAATTTCAGGAAAAGTTGCCTTCACACTGTATTTCTTTTTAAACCATTGAACTTCTGCACTCCACTAATCCTATAATACAAGTGAAGTTTGGATAAACCTCCTCTTAATTCCCAACACCGGGTGACGAGGAAAATGGAGCGATTCAATATCATGCCTTATTTCATACTCAATCATTTTTATAAACTCTCTGAAAGAGACGGAGGTTATTGTGTACGGAGGTTAGAAGTAGCTGCCTGGGAATGAGGAACGGCAGGCGGCGAGGTAATAAGTTTTATTTATGTCAGAATGTGAACTTACCCTTTAAATGGAGAAACTGAGTGTTCTTATCAGAACACAAGGAGCCTTTGGGTCCGCAGTGAGGAGGGGGAGCTCAGGGCTGGTGGTCCCGAGGAGGCGCTGGTGGCCTCTGGAATTCTTCCTCCCAGAGAGCCAAAAAGGAGGATCCTTCAGTGTGCGGGTAAACAGCATGGCAGTGGCCTCATTGCAAGAGAGCTCAGGTGGGGACGCCCCACCCCGCGGCCCACCCTTTGTAAAGCCCGGGCCCACATCAGCCCCAGCAACGCACACCTTCTAATATTTGCCCTCCCAGGCTCCTGGCGGCCGATGATGCAGAGCCCCCGTGAGCTCATAATTCATGGTCTGTGGCTTTGGGTTAGTTACAGTGCACTCATGGAGTGTTCCAGAATAATCAGTGGGCGGGCTTGTCTCAAAATTGCTTCAAAACAGTGAGTAGTTTGCAGTATTAGGTCCCAGTGCAAACACGTTTAAACCTTTTTTCTCTTCCTCCTCAGAATAGAGCTGTTTCATAGAGCCAGCATCTTGAAGCTTAGCTTACATGCGTGTATGTGTGTGTGATATTTTTGTTTGCTTTACCTATTGGAAAATCAAATATTTCTTGATAGACTTATACGTTAGCACTTTCCGAGGGATCAGTATTACCAGATAATCTATCAGAGTTTAATTTCCTCAAACTTGAAAGAACTAGGTATATTAACTTTCAGAATAACGGAAATCCATTTTGGAAAGGCCATTTTTTTTAATGGGCACCAAACTTTGCCCCAGTGTTTTACTGAACGTTATTTTTTCTTCTAAATACATGAAACATAGCGTATTTGGATTAAATCTGTACTTCATTACCTAAAAAGATAATTTCTTACTTGTACTCTTTTTTCTCCCCCCAAATTGGCATGTCAGTACATGATATATATGCCGTGTGCACGTGTCTGCTTGCTGCTGGTGTGTGCGGGTTGGTGTGGAAGGAGGTGTGATGCCCAGCACACGACTCCTCGCACGGGAGTCCCATTTCTGCGGAAGGCCATCAGGTGAAAGTGCCGAAGGAGGCGATGAGATGATTCGAACACATTCCCTCCTCTCTCTCTCTGAGTTTGTTTGAATGTTGCATCCGTTTCCCGAAGGGTTTGATCACCTTGCAGCAGGAGTTCAGCGCTCGGCCGGCCCACACCCCCGTCCCCACACGAGCGCACAGACTCCTGTGGAATTTCCAGCGAGCCTCTTTTGATGGGTTATTTCACAATACCCAGCACACTTCCGTATCTCTTGGAGGCCTTTGGAACCAGACCCAGAGGAGAGCACGCTTCTGGGCGCGGCGGGCATATCACTCACGGGTGATGATCAGCGAGTGACCTCCCGTTAGGTGCGAGGTGGCTGTGATTGGGGTGCTCTGTCCACTCTGGCTGACGGGCCGGTGGCCCGAATGCAGCCCAACTCCTCATCCCCCCTGGGCAAGGGAGAGCCAGCCCCTCCCAGAGGAGGGTGCCTGTCACAAGCTGGCTTATTCTCCGGGGCCTTGAATTAAGGGATCCTTCTTTTTCTAAGGTAGCTTAATCTTTTGTAATTGGTACAATCACTCGTTAGAGAAGCGTTTTCCGATTTAGGTAGAAAACAGGGAATCTCCTGAGGTTTGCCTAACCCCACCACAAGCTCCTAAAATAGCCCATTTCAGTCAGCTATGTATCAGTCAGAAAGAACGGCCTTTCTTTGCTTTACACGTAAATTTTCAGGTCAAAATAACTTTTGTGCAACTTCTCAGCAAGAAAATCTATCCTGCTTCATAAAAGGAAAAGTGCCCTCAAATATTATTAAAGAACTTAGGTTTTTATCCTAACCCAGTCAAGCCTGAGAATTGGGATTTTACTAGTTTTGCCTTTGCAAGAAGCTGTGATTAGCACCTCTGTGTGTCGGGAGAGCTCTCTTGAAGCTTTGCAGTCACTGAGTTGATGTTTCATCTGGTCAAGGGGAAGCCAGGCTGCTGAGGGAGAGGCCTTGTCCTGGGGTCCCGAGCTCCTCGATCCCAGAAAGAGGCCCCGGCTTCACTGTAAAGTACACGCCTCGCCACACAGTCACGTGATAACGAAGGAAAACTTGCAGACTTTTGCCTTGCCACGAGGAACGCACCTGTCCCGAGCATTTCGAAAACATGTGTGTGTTTGTGTGTGCATTCAGTTTCAAGTGATCAATTAGGGCCAACAAGCTCCGTTGAATCTTCTAGATTCCTTGCCACCCTGGGTCTGAACGTTGTTCTGTAAGGCGTGAATTGGTAGTGCATTTTCTCATAAACCTTAAATTTTCAAGTCTGCAGTTTCCAAAAGCCGCGGCTGCATGCCCATTCTCCAGTTTCTGTGCAACGTGTCTCCTCAAAAATAGCTCCTGAGATTT